CGACCCAACGGGCAGTCTAAAACCAACGCATCAATCATATGCTCCTCGTTGGTAAGCACAAGATCTAACACAGATGGCCTGTTACCAGTTCTGAACCGAGTGGGCAACGTGATGTGGTTGTAAAGAGGAACAGTAGTTACTAGATCTTGTATATCGGTTTTGAATTGTTCTCCGGTCGTGGCAGGGGCTTCTAAACAATGTACGTTAAAATCAGCCATGATAAGAATGTGAGTGTACTTTTGTTGTAAACTGCACCTTAAAGCAGCCATTAGGTGGTAGTCGGTTTCGGGTGTTGAGTTAGGGGCGCGGTACACCAATATAATAAGGCAAGCGTCCCTGCCTTTTAACTGCAACCGGCACCAAAGAGAGTCGGGGAAGTGCGAATCTGAATCCTCCACGGCTTCGCACTGTAAGTCGTTTTGGTAGTACAGGATTACCCCTCCTCCTTTTGTGAGCCTATCGTTCCGGATCAGCGACATGCCGGGTAGCGACACTTCAGCGTCCGTCATTCCCGTGTGCAACCATGTCTCAGTGACACCAATGACATCATACGAGCCGGAAGCTTGGCGATCTTTCAGTTCAGCCAGTTTGTTAGAAAGTCCCTGAGCATTTGTATACAAGCAGGCCAGTTTCTCGGTCTCTAGGAGCCCACAGAGAGGTGAAGCTGTCAAGTGTGGGAAAATGCCGACCGATGGGAGGTCGGCAGTTATTCGTTTTTTTGATGGGTCAATGATACCTCGTTTGCAACTTGATTCAGCCAAGGTGCGTCCCAGCCTTCGTTTAGACCTACTTCAGAGTCAATTAAAGCAGCAGTCAAGTTACACTTCTGTACATTCGTCAGGATGCTTGCTGCTTCAGTTGCTTTAATACTTGAGCTGTGCGAATTGTTTGCGACCTTTAACCGAATTTCGGAAGGAAGATGTTTCCGATTTCTCCGCCATCGATCCAAAACATCCTTTGCTTGTTGCTCTGACTGAACCACAAGTTTTAGGATTCTAGGGCCGCATCCTCTATAATTCGATGAGAGAGGTATCCTGGTGAGCGACAGTGCCACAACATCATCCAAAGAAAGTGTTTCACGAATGAACCGCCACTGTTCTAAATCGTGCTTTCCGGTATCTTGAACATGGTTAGAAGGATGTTCTGGCACTCCATGTATGAAGACTGTGTTTAGGCCGTTTTGCTTGCTGTGCCCATCTTCGGTGTTTCGTTTTGGTTGTCGCGCGCTCCAAGGGACATCAGGATAGATACGTATCACACAGGATTCGTGTTTTAGCGCGCTTGCGGGGAGCAAAACATTTTCCACGTCGGTGGAGGATTCTAGAGTTACTCGAATAAGTCTGGGTTCACCATAGTGTGGCGAGTTCGGACGACGAGTAATTCGTAACAAGTTTATGGGCTTGGCTTTGATACTCATCTGCATACACAATGAGTTCCATTTGTCTTGGTCGTCTGATAACTTATCCCGCAATGTGATGGCGGTAGATTCAGGGACATTTGAGCATACAACAGTCCGGGCACTGTTGTTGGATCCCTTTTCAATCGATCTACAAGGTATGGTACTCATTTGTCTTGACTTGTTGATAAGTGATTGTTTGCTTTTTTTCTCTCCATTTGCGTTAACGGTGATTACAATGGAAGAGGACGCAACGGCGGCCTCTCGGTGGACCCTTGCAACAATCTCTGCATATGTAACCGATGTTCTGGGAGGCTTAGTCTCGACAAGAGATATTTGAGCTACAGGTACCAAGGGTTGGTGTTTGGCTGCTCCATCCTTGTTAATACTAGATGTCAGGTCTTGTGGAATTTGCTTAACCAGACGTTTTGAATGGTGCCTGATTTTCTTTGCTGTGAGTACTGCTTGATTCACGTAGGTACAGTCTGTTTTCGCCCGGCTTTCTACCAAAGTTGGAGAAGATAACGGAGATGGAGACATGGCTGATTGCGGTGCAGGCGAAGCGATTTGTTCAGCATTCCTTTGCTTAGCAGCCGCTACGCTTCTGTGGTCCATACTCGCTCCCATTGAAGTAATCTTATTGTTTATCCTCTGCTCTGCTTCTGCGATTAACCGGTCGCATTTCTCAGCTAGGATAAGCAAGCACTTAACGAGGGGGATGGTGGAACACGCAGTACAGAACCAAAATGCATCTTGTTAGCTATTTCGCTCCCTTAACTGTTGTTGGGACACATTTGCACATTTCGTATGGTACCATGCTAAACAGTGCGAACAAGCCAGTCCGATTTGTACTACCCGATGACATTCTCCTAACCCGCAAATGCCTTTCGATGGGAGTCTCTTCGGTTTCGCCTTTCTGCCATTCAATTTGGTGTCGTTACCTGACCCAGTGAGTTGGTTAGCGTTCTGTACTTTTACAGCTTTGAGAGCGGCGCACATCGGTCAGGCGAGCGTGGTGGTTGCCAGGTCAAATGAGCGGTCGGCGTGGTCGCGCGGTCCGTGTGATGGGTAATGCAGCCGCACTGGCTGACAAGGTCACAAGGAATGGCGAGTGACTGCAACCTGAACAGAGCGCTGAACACAGATTCTTTCACAGCTGTGTTGAGAAACACTGGATCGGAGTAAGCTTAGCCTTTTCGGTCTGCCTCGAAAATTCTGTATCGAATGGTGTCCCACAGAATGGCAATCGGATCAATACGATTGAATTAAACGCTTGCGCTTAATCACAGATGCCAGTGAAAACGCTTAGTGATGGCACAGCCTCTAATCGTAGAAGATATTTCCACGTATGATGGATCACTGTGTAGAGCTGGTAAATCCGGTTCGAATGAGCGTACAGTGACAACGCTGCGAGAAGATGGAGAGAGGATAGAGGGAAATAATCCAAATGAACCAGTAGCGCGCACGTCACGCGTGTGTGAGGATGACCTTGTACCAAATGTCACCAGTAATTCATAATCTTCTGAAGTCAGCAACGAAGCCGACAACATGCTTTTTGGTCAGTAGCACGGGAATGTAATATGCTACGGACCCTTGTGGAGTTTGCCAGCCAGCGGTGTTTTGTGTTTTGCCTCTGACACCGCCGAACATCGACCAAGCAAATTCGAGTATTTGAGGTATGTGTGTCCACACTATGTTAAAGTGGCTGGTCTGATAGCAAAATTTACAAATTCCACATGGTTGTAAGGTGAATCGTTGTCACTTTCACCTTGTTATGCAGTTGTCAGCCGACTTACCGTCCATTTTCAGAAGATCCAAGTACAAACAGAGTCATACAGACCGACTGGTGAATGGAAGGATAGGTGGCCAGATGTGTCTCTAAAGAGTGGTAGTTGACGTTTTAGCGCTTTTGAGGAGGCGCATCAAAGTTACACTCAGCTAGCCATCAGACATTCGGAACTGCGGTTGACATCTTTTTCGTCATGTTTGGAGCCGTTAGTAGCGCAAATTCACCAATTCTGATGTATTCGAGCGCACAGGTTTTCCCATTTCGAGTCCACGACTTCAACCACTGAGCGGCTGGTGGCTGCTGCGGACCGTCACAACTGATTATTAACCGCGATAGAGCGAAGATCATCCTCTATTGCCATACACCTTTCTGTCATGAAGAGAACAGGACTGGACTCCGTAGACGCGACTTCCATCGCTAAGCCACCATCTTATGGCATTATAAGTGGACTCGGGTGATTACTGACTGTTAGATAGTATTTTTAAAGCAGTTAGTTCCCTTCCAAAATTTGAAAAGCACGGAAAGAAGACGAAGGCTGGTAGATGCATGCATTTCGTATTGTCTCCTCAGTACCATTAACAATAACCGATATGCATCGATCTACCTAACAGTGGGTGCAACCAGACAAGCTTAAAGTGCAAAACGAATGACGGAAGTTCACACCTACGTCCAAGGCAGCTTTAGGCTGACGAATAATTGTTTCTGAACACACAAGGCTGGCTTAATGCGGCTTATAGCGAAGGCCTCAGCAAACCGAAGGAAGCGGGGATTAGTGTGACGTAACGCAAGTTTAAACGCTTAGCCCAGCTCTATCTAGTGATGCGAGTCTAATAGGTGTTTGCCTATCGAGGAAGCCGGCTGTCTGCGCGAACATGGGATCTGACGAGGGTAGGCGATCTGAGCAACTTCACATTGGACCCATTTTGGTATATGTCCCTTTATTCTGGAAATCAGCGTTCTATTGGTTCTGCCTATGTAACTTTTTCCGCAGTCACATACAAATTGGTATACACAGTATGAGTTGACCCAAATAGGCTGAGCTTCCTTCGTTGGAGGTATGGGCAAACTTTGGGTTCGGTTGATGACGACAACTTGTGCAGCATAGTAACTTCCTTGTGTAGCCGAAATTCTACGCTTAGTTGTCTTCAGCGTGGTTAAGTCGCCTTTGAAAGGTAACTCGATATACACTTTCTTCTTGGCTGCCGTGTGCACCAAGTCCTTTGGCCCTCGCGGTTGGCTGTGTTTCTCGATAAATCTTCGAGGGTAGCCGTTCGCCATTAGTGTTGCTGTAATTAACACTAGTTAATCGTCCACACAGTCGGCCGAACAAATTCGTCTGACACGACTAACTAGATTCTTCACAAGTGTCCGTTTGTACCGCACTGGTGTGAAGCCTAAAGCTGCCTTGGACGTAGATGTGAACTTCCGTCATTTGTTTTGCGTCTTAAGCTTGTCTGGTTGCACCCACTGTTAGCTATATCGATGCATATCGGTTATTGTTAGGTAGTAGTAGTAGTGGGTTTTTTGGTCTTTGCGAAGTTCACCGCAATCATTGGTCACTTGGAGCTAGAAGAACGCTCAGAGACAAGGGTTCAAAGACATATAGTGAGAGAAGCGCGGAGGACCAACTGGGCCATTAATTTGGTGCAATCGGACCGATAGCTAATTGGTTAAAGAGAGCCATATCTTCAAACTGCAGTCAACAAAGTTTGTAGCTTTTAATACTATTTCGTATGATGCGGTTGTGTTCTTTAATTTGTCGAGTTGATGCTTCTCTTGAAGGATCGTTGATGTTTATCTTATTTTCATTTCAAGGTGAAGGATTCCGGCAGCCTACTTCTGACAGTTAGGACAAAACAACCCAGTGTGTTACCAATCCGCGATGTCCAACTATTCCCTGGTCATTATGGCGCGTCAGGTGCGTCTCTGGAGATCGGTACCGTGTGCTTTGGTGGCATTGATCCTGAGGAGCCTTCGTTTTTGGAGAGCTTACAAGCGGAAGAAAGCACCTCTGCCTCCACGCCTAATGATGGATCTGTTCAGACAAAAATGACCAGATTAGGATTGGAACAAAATGTTGTACCAGGATTCCTAGGCATCCCGAATACGCGTCTATGAATACTTTGAGATAAAGTTATCGGGGCCACCTGAGAAGGTGCCCTATTGTGATTGTTCGGTTCCACTCGATTTTGTCCGAATGGACGCTGCACTATGTCATCCTGATGATACATCAAATGCACATAGATATTCTTTTATCATATTTGTCTTGTGACTTGTTCAACAGTTTCGATATGCAGCAGCAAACTCCCGTACACATGCGCGGGCTTGGTACCTCTCGCTTTTGTGAGCCTATGGGGCACTGTGCGTTCTAGTATAGCTTGCCCGCCTGCTATGCTGGTGACTAGTCGCTACCATATTAGACTTGTCCGTTGTGTGACTACAACAACGAATTTCAACCTGGCCTGCTATCCGAGTTGTAGTGAATGCAGCTCGGTTGAGTCACGAGGAGGCGCAATGTGCGAGACATCAAACGGCATTCACCCCGAGTATTTGTGAGGACACGGTGAAATCCAGTTGGGCAGCAATCGACAGAGCGCGTTTTTAGCAACTGTGAGCCAAGCTCATGTATATGCGAAGATGTCGCCTCGAAGTTATAATGGATATCGACGACCGGCATGATTAATAAACTAGTTTTAAGATTGCACTGTACAGAAGACCAGCCACTGTTAATTTTGTTTAAACCGTCTGATCTTCCCTAATAGACACTCACGCGACACATCCATCACAAAATATTTAGAGCGCAAACGGCAATGGGGAGGTTAGACAACCACCAATTCGATCCACATAAGATGTTTTCACGCCATCAAACTGCTGAAGCTACATCCCAACCAAGAAATATCGTGCTTATTCCACTTAGACTGGACTGATCAACATAACTTCACCGCGCGCAACTGCCGAAAGCCGAGAAATGTGGAAAGGTCATCTCCCCAGCAACCAAGGTTCATAAGATGTCTCAATATGCAATCAAGTTGCTCAGGTCAGAGACATAATCAAGACTTCAACCACCAACCCGAGTCATCCTTAAGCAAATTTATTGCATGCATCCTACTACTTCTGTTAAGATAAAACCACGCGGTCATCTCCGGACTTCGATAATTCCTGAGTTGCGCCTATATCTCTGGCAGCTGGATACGTAGGTTTTGGCAGGCATTTAGAGTGGTCCATCTTTTGACAATTCCTGTCCGAGTTACCCTTTCCTACCATACTCTTTACCGCTAGCGCAGTGTTATGGTTGTTGTAGTATTAAGTGGTGGCACGTTAGCGTTCATCTAGGGTTCTGGTTCTCACCCTGCACCTGAGATCCACAGTTAAATTCGTAAAAGCGCTGCGAACGATCTGTATAGGCCGGAGTGTGTTAAGATTCCTCTACAAATATACATAGATCTTCATAGAACAAACACAAGTTATCTAGTATAGTGTGTTTGATATGTTTGCACCCATTGCCGTTATTCAGCTACGACTGGTACCATTAAATGACGCACTTTGCGCGCGTACACGAAACCCGAGCTTTCCTAACACTTGTCCGGCTACCGAATCAGCAATTTCCGTTGGACAGCAGATGTGCACACAAATGCTCCTTGCATTTGGTGCAAGTAAACTCGCGTTCAAACTAGTGCTTTTGTTGAACTCTTTAATGTTTGGGCAGCCATGCAACGGTCATGTGACCCCAACTACTTAGGTTGAAAGGTCATCGACAGATGCAGCACAGACGACCACAGGTTAGCAGGTTTAACAGTCGATAGCTTCACCTCGCAATCTATGGTTCCGTTCGGCTAGGTAAGCCAGAGCATACGGTAAGCTTACTTGGCGGTGAGTGCGGATGGAATTGGAAAGTTGTCTAGACGTGAAACCGTCGTTGCATCTTGCTGCGTTAAACGAAAACAGCGGTGCATTTGGTTGTCTTAATTTCTAAGCCACATAAAAGCAATCCATCATAGACCAGAGCAATAAAGGTACGATGAGCGCTTAGTTTAGCAAAGTTAGGGAGAAAAGAGTTACGGCCTACTTCCCTGTTACCGGAAAAGTAGATTCCAACAAAGCACTTTAGCAAAAATGTCAGTGCTTTTAATTATGCCTTTCACATTAGGAATTATAACGGCTTTGTAGATGAGTATTTGTCCGCAGCTCAAGAAAGTTGGTTGCAAGAGCGAACTGCTATTACCTTAAAAAATCTATGATGCCTAAAGATTACCGGCTACTGTGTGGCCTAGTACGACAATGCTAGAAAAGGTAAATGATGAGTACTACGAGCAACCACTTGACGGTCACATTCCCGGAAATGCAGAATGGTTCTACGATATTCCGACTAGTTTGTTTTGCGTTGTGGTAACTACGTGATTCTCTGTATCAGCGTGCGTTAGATGTAGCCAAACAATGCGATTTTCTGTTCAGTAGTAATAAAGGTTTCATCATCACTGAACATTATGTGTGAATGCTCGTGTGATCCAAAAACCAACTGCAAAATACATCCCTTTGTCCGGAACGCAAGTATCGAAAACCTGAACGAAACATTTTGCATCTAAATCCCTGTGTCAGAGTATCGGAGGTGTCACAATGCTGGGCTATTCTAAGTATGATGAGCTCGTCCTTTTTGGATACTTCACGAATAACAGCAAGAAATGAAATTTCTTCCGTGGCGACAAAAGGCCACCCAGTTTTTCTGGCGTTGCACACATTCTCAGCTTTATCGATTAGCTTCACCAGTTTAAGTGAGTAACAGACTTTGTTGGGCGGCATTCCAGCGTTGCTAGTTTTGTATCTTCGATCAATTGCTGTAACGGTTGACCGGCACTCCCCATACAGCCAAAGAATATGCACGCGCTGATCATCAGCCACTTAATATATAATTCAGATTGAAGATAAGTCGCCGATGGGAGTGTTTGCTAGTGCTCCATTGTTGAAACAGTGATCAAATAACTACCTGACAAGATTCGCACCCCTTATCTTGCCTCACCGACCAATAGTCAGACTGCGGCTGCTGGACCCGAAGCTACTAATACATGGTTCGTCTGTGTTGCATTTCACGATGACCTTTCAACCGAAGGATTTGGGGTTGCATGGCCGTTGCATGGCTGCCCAGACATGAAATGTTTCAGCAAAATCGATGGTCCGCACGCGATTGGCACACACCAAATTCAAGGAGCACGCGTGCGCGCATTTGCATTCAAACAAAAGTTGCTTATTCGGTTGCCGGACAAGTGTTAGGAAAGCTCGGGTTACCTGTACGCGCGCCAAGTGCATCATTTAATGGTACCCGTCGTAGCTGAATAACGGCAATGGGTGCAAACATATTAGACACACTGTATTAAGTATCTAGTGTTTGTTCTATGAAGATCTATGTGTATATTTGTAGAAGAATTTTAACCCACGCCGGCCTATGCATATCGGTCCAAAGTTATCAGACACACTGCACAGTTAACTAGGTGCTTTTTCCAACCAGTTACATAGAACACCGCTTTTAAAAGGGGCCTTTGCGAGGTAACAATTAGCGCCGTTATCTTAAGGACTGTTTGTGTTAGAATGGGATTCCAACAGACTTTTAACTATGCACCACGGTATGCCCAAATGCTCGCTACTGGGCAAACAGGGTTAGGTTATCACAACCTCAAGCAAATACCCAGGGGCAAGGAATATAAATGCCAAAGGCACATTGTAATCGAAAGTTGAAGCATTTTTGGTTATATGTGAAGCACAATTTTCACGGGCCTATTGCGTTTGTGGGCCAGTGTCGATGAGAGCATTGTTCTCTTCGAAAAAGCGAAGGTTTTGTGGGAACATTTCAACTGGCAAATCTACCCAAACTACGATGAACTTTCTAACAACTTCACTTCAAAACTTTCTGGCTGCAACTTCTGAGGAAAAACTTGATGCTCCTACACAAGTTGCTACACCAAACAGCATACTCACACTTGCTTAATTTAGAGCCAAGACAAGATGCCGATCAGCCTCCATAACAAACATATGCCCTACTTGCAACAAGGGCAAGAACAACCGCGTGCACTAAATGTTTTCTTATCAATGGAACAATGGAACAACGGTTTATTACGGGCAAAAAAGCATCGCTTAACAAGTCCCGTGGGATAGAAATTATTGCCAATATCAATTGCACAATAAAGTGAAAAGCGTTGTGGTGGACTCACCATAGACTTATGTGGAATAGCGGAGATGTTCGCGTATTAAACGTATAAATCCATCAATCCATTGGTTAGGCGTTTGGCAAGACACCGTTTGATTGCGTTTTGTAGCCCTTGGCTAACAAGTCATAAAATGAAATATAAGTGAGACAATGCATCGTCAACACGTTTTTAAAATATCGCCAGATTGAGAGCAGAGACGACATAATTAGGGAGGGCATTCCAAGGCTCACACACTCGTAGAGAAAAGAAATTTCTACGGCATTCAAGCCGGCTATAATGAATTGTCAGTTTCAGAGGGTGACCTCTTGGTTTACTGTTGTGGTTCAATTCCAGCAGCGGACGGCAAATGTGGTTTGGGTTCTTCAGAATCTGGTAAACCATTATGAGATCCCCCCCGCAAAAGCCGATATCGACTACTGTACATTCCTAGAGATTTCAATCTAAGCTGATAGGGGAGATGAAAGAGGCCCCTGACGTTTTTGGTTGCCCTTCGTTGAGGAGTCTCGAGAGCAACAAGATCTTGTTTCTGTCACAGCTGCCACGCCTCAATAGTATATTCCACGTGAGGTCGCACGTAGACGTTAAGCATTTGGGGAAATATTGATGGTTCAAACCGACCGAAGGCTCTGCGAAGAAGGCCGAAGTGTTGATTTCCGGTTCTCGTCGCCTTCTCTACTTGTTTTGAACAGCCAAGATCTTCCTGTACCAATACACCCAGATAATGCTCCTGAGAAATCTTCGCCAAGGTGTGGTCTCCAATCTTGTAAGCGCTCACCGGCCGGTGACGCAGATGCATCACTTCGCACTTAGCCATGTTCAATGGAAGCTTGTTCCTATTTGACCATTCGTAAAAGCAATATATGGCACAGACTGGTAGTCACAATTATGGCATGTGAAGGCCACAACTCATTATACACTAAA